GTCTGTGGGTCTGTCTCCGTGTAGTGGGTATGATGTGTGTGGGGTGTCTCTGCGTGGGGTGCGTCTGTATCTCTGTGGGTATGGTGTGTGTGTGTGGTGCGTCTGGGTGTATGTCTCCATGTAGTGGGTATGATGTGTATGGGGTGTCCCTGTGTGGGGTGTGTCTGTGTCTCTGTGGTTATGATGTATGTGGTGCGTCTGTGGGTCTGTCTCCGTGTAGTGTGTATGATGTGTGTGGGGTGTCTCTGCGTGGGGTGTGTCTGTGTCTCTGGGGTTATGATGTGTGTGGTGCGTCTGGGGGTCTGTCTCCGTGTAGTGGGTATGATGTGTGTGGGGCGTCTCTGCGTGGGGTACGTCTGTATCTCTGTGGGTATGATGTGTGTGGTGCGTCTGGGGGTCTGATGTGTGTGGGGTGTGTCTGTGTCTCTGTGGGTATGTCTCTATGTAGGGGGTACAATACGTGTGGGGTGTCTCTGTGTGGGTGTCCCTGTGTGTGGTGTGTGTCTGCATGTGGTGTGTGTGGTATGTGTGGAGTGTGTGTGGCGTGTCCCTGTGTGTGTGTGAGAGGTGCTCCCGGGAGGTCTTCCCTGCTCCACCCCGACTGCCTGGCGAATGGAACACGCAGCACAGACCACAGGGCACGGTCACCTCAGGCAACAGAGAGTGGTCAAGAAGTGGAGAGAATACGAAACTCCGAGAACAGAAAAGTCCCTGCTGGGTAGACGGGATGGCTTCCTCAGGGACGAGTGATCAGGGATGGGCAGAGAAGGTGAGTGAGAACCCGAGAAAGAACAGTGCCCATTAGAGAGCAGCAAAAGTGGGCTGCGGTGGAGGGTCAGGGAAGGAACCTGAGGAGGAAAGAGACGGGCTGCCTCATCTCCTTGTTTCTCCACAAAACAAACAGGAGAAACACTTTGGTAGCTGCACCTGTAGGATTCTCCAAAGCTCTCCCCGCTGAACGCGATCCTCTCAGAGCCCGTGTGAACGAAGAAACAAGTCCCCAGCCACGGCCACTGCACAAGCCTCCCTTTGTTCCAGTCCCAGCTGCCCCCTGGACCTCCCAACTCGGCTGAGTTTCCCAAAACACTCAAGATGGGAAAGCAGGCCGCCTTCAGCACCCGAGCACCAGGCATTCAGGCAGCCTGGGTCAAAATCCCTCGGTAGGCTTGGCTTGGTGGCTGGGAGCCTGCACCATTCAGATGGCCTCCGGGTATCCTTCCGGGCAGAAGGAAAACAAGGGGGTCTCCACCCAGCTCTAGCAGGGTGCAGAGGCCCTCCCTAGCATCTCGCACTGAACAAAGGGACAGTCCCCTCTTCCCCAGCTGCAGTCAGCGCCCCCAGCACCTCCCCGACACCAACCCTCAGGCACAGGGCCTCGTGCATGTCGGTGCCCACCGAGCCTACCAACAACACGGTCCAGTGACTCATATTTTTACTGAAAATCTGCCTTAAAAGCTCCATCTTGAGAAGCTAATCTTTCCAATTTTATGTAAGCTTATCTGTTTGTTCCCCTCCATAGAAGGTAATGGAATCACCACTGGATGTCAGATCAAAAGTAGGTGGATTAAAATGAAAACAGCTTTAAAATGTGACCGCTCTGTCCACTCAAGGAGTTAGTGTCCCCCTCTGAGAGCCTTATGAAGATCACAATGTGTAATGCTGGAGTCATAAAACCCTCCTTCCAGAGGCCGCGGCCGTGCAGGGCTTGTTTGATTTAACTGCATTGCAGAGTCCTAATTTCTTGGTCTCCTCCATCTCTATGACTTTAAGTTGGGGTTCCTACCCTCAGCTTCCCCCTTAAAATATCCCTTACCTTTTCTTCAATCTATAATTACCCTACAGAAAGGACTCAATTCGGCGAGGGGGTGGGAGGCCCTGGGGAAAAGCTCACACCCATACTACCCCCTTTCAACTATAGACACAGGCATAATGATCTTCAAAAGTCACAATAAAGAAAAACAACTCATCACAATCAACCTTTTAAAACCAACAAAAATGAAGAGGCAACAGAATTTAGGTAACTGGAGGTGAGACCTGAACAGAATCCACTTGCCTATAGGGCCTCATGAGTCCTCTATGGACAGGCATCCTTTGTCCTGCAAGGCCTTTAATATAAGAAAACGTCTCCATATCAGCTTTAAAGGGCTGGCATGGCCCTTCACCTTCACCCTGTACCTGTCTATTCACCTCCTAAAAGAAGAGTTTACACTGAGAAGCAGACTCTTTCATGATGTCTTACAGTTTAAATTTCTGACTTTAGCAAATACCAAAGATAAGTTAACCACAGAGTTTGGGGGGTTTTTTGAGTCGGAGCCTCAAGCTGTCGCCCTGGGTAGAGTGCAGTGCCATCACAGCTCACAGTAACCTCCAACTCCTGGGCTCAAGCGATTCTCCTGCCTCTGCCTCCCAAATAGCTAGAACTACAGGCGCCCGCCACAATGCCCAGCTACCCGGCTATTTTTTGGTTGCAGCTGTCATTGTTATTTGGTGGACCCGAGCTGGATTTGAACTTGCTAGCTCAGGTGTATGTGGCTGATGCCTTAGCTGCTTGAGCCATAGGTGCCGAGCCTAATCACAGAGTTTAAATGGTCACTTTTGTAAGCCTTCCTGAAGAGTCTGAGGGACTTTAAACATTGAAAGCTTTTTGTGGGGTTTTTTTGTGTATATGGTTTGGTAATTTCTCAAAAACCTCAAGACTAACCAAATTCCTCACTGAACACCACATTGCTATCTCATGCACCTTATGACGTATGAAGAAGATTTTTTCCACAGCTACTGGAGTGGATGGGACCCAGGAAATGGGCAGAGAGAGAGGCCAGGGCTGGAGCATGGGGGCAGCACTGACAGCGTCTCCGAAGTGGGCTGCTGTAGGGTGTGAGATCAGGAGAAGATGGACTGAAGTGGCTCCTGTGTCAGGGGAAAGGCCTGCTTGGTCAGAAGAGGTAACAAATAAACCTTGCACCTCCTTTAATGTGTGCAGTCTCTGAACCACTCTGTCTTCAGCTAAATGGGTGAAAGACCGTCAACACCACAGAAATGAGGTCCCCCACGGTCATGCCCTGCTCTTGAATTAGTGTAAGCAGGACACCAGAGCCCTGAAGATTTTAGCCTCATCCCTTTGAAATCTGCTCTTCAACAGGAATGATTCATAAGCTAAACCTATTCTGCAGCAGCCGTCTCAGTGATATTCCCAGGAGGGTCTTGCAAATGAAAAACCTAAGCTTGAAGGATTAAGGATTCGTCTTACCCTGCTATTGAATTCTCCAAACCTCCTCTGTGAGGCTGCTTATAGTAACTGCCCTCTCCACCTCTCCTCACCTGTCAGGTGGGCCTACCTTTGTAAGAATTATCAGGCCCTGAAGGCCCTATAGGAGTCCGAGATAAAAAAAAAAAAAAAAAAAAGAAAGGAGGCAGTTGGGAGGCCAATTTTGATTTGTTGGTAGATGGCCTGAAGCCACAGAGCTCCAGCACCAACTATCTGAGCTGGGACCATACCCTTGAGTGCCCCCGGGTACCAGGAATGTAAATTGATAAGAAAGGATGCTGAATAGAAGCTCATTTGCACTCCCTGTGTTGTGCACGGAGTGGGCTGGGTGCTCTGGAGAGTGAGTACCACACTCACGGGCTGGACAGGGCCACCATACAGGGACCATTTTATTTTTTCCCCCTAAACTGATCTCAAAAGATCAATTTATAGAAAAAAACTCAAGCATCCTTTCAAGCAAATATCGAACGATATTTTATGGAGCCTCTCCCAGGTAACAGGTGTTGTTCCATGTAATGTTAATAAAAAGGTAAACAAGACAATGAATTGAATAGTGAAGCTTGGATTTTATATTATGGTGAAATTCACCCATTGTTGTTAAACCCTCAGAATATTCAACCTAAGATGGAAAATTAGAATTGTGTGAAATCATCCCATTTTAAATACTGTCTACAATTTTTTTTAAAAAAACCTATGTGGAGGCCAAACAAAAATATGTCTGTGGGCTGAATGTGGGTGACAAGCCAGCTTTTAAAAATCTCTGACCTGCAGTCTTTTTTTTAAATTTATCCTAAGAGGACTCAACTCCCCAGAGGCCTTCCTCAGGGTAAGTAATTTTCAAAACAGGCTTTGTCTATGAGGATGGGACTGGGAGTCTATAAGGATACTCACACCACTGTTTAGCTTAATGATTTTTTTTTTAACTGGAATTTATTTTTTACCATCCACAAACAGCTTTTTAAAATACTAAACTCCGGAGACTCTATTACTTATGAATATTTTTAAACTCATCAATAACAGGCTCAGCGCCTGTGGCTCAAGCAGCTAAGGCGCCAGCCACATACACCTAAGGTGGCGGGTTCGAATCCCCAGCCCCGGGCCCAACAACAATGATGGCTGCAACCAGAAAAATGGCCAGGCGTTGTGGTGGGCGCCTGTAGTCCCAGCTACTTGGGAGGCTGAGGCAGGAGACTCGCCTGAGCCTAGGAGTTGGAGGTTGCTGTGAGCTGTGATGCCATGGCACTCTACCCAGGGGGATAGCTTGAGGCTCTGTCTCAAAAAAAAAACTCCTCAATAACAACAATAATTAACCGGCCAAACACAATCATCTCTACTGCCCACTACACAGAGCCACGTGCACCTCAGGTCTCTCTGGAAGCAGCAGCTGCCCTCAGTCAGCTCAGAGGATGCCAGAGCCTGCTGCAATCTTACCTCCATGGTGTGGGTTTTTCCTGATGATGTCTGCCCATACGCAAAAATTGTCCCGTTATAACCTTCAAGGACATCTGCAAACAAGAAAAAGAAATTAAAATTAACTCATTTTTTGATCATATGCTGCTGTAGGATGCATATTTTAAGATTACATTTTCCAAATGGCCCATCTCATTTTTCACACAGATGATATATTTCAACTCCGTGTGCATTTTAAGTAGAATTGTGAGATAAGAGCAGAAACGCAGGCCTCCGCTGTTCTACAAATAGAAAGAAATGGACCCACATTTTCTACAGAATATATTAATGAAGAAAGAGGCAGACATACTTTCTCCCAGTAATGTCAAAGTGGAGACAGAGACAGTGAGCTGGGAACTTTTGTTCAGTAGGAGGATGCTTAAGTTTTCTTCTACAAGTTGATCTCTTGAGGTCAGTTTAGGGGGGGAAATATTATCCATACCCTGAGACTTTCCAGTAAGATATAGAATAGAATTTCTTTCCCGAAGATTTGATTTGGGTGAGTTCAAACACTGGCCCAGGTCAGCTCCTTGAGGGGGGTTTCTCCCTAAGGAGAACCAGGGGAGGAACAGGGTCCCTTTCTGTATACTAAGCCCCATGGTGACAATCCATTAAGCCCGGAAACCAGCTGGACCCTGACTTAAATGTAATGCCTCTGTGTTTGCAGGGACTATGCTAGCAAACCGGCCCAGGACCATCGACACTGGTGATTTCTTTTAATTACACAATGAGCACACTGTGCAAACACCTCCACACCGCGGATCGGCTGCCACCTCACACAGGGACAAGGGAGGTGCCGGGATGGGGGCTGCTTTTTGCTAAAGAGCTGGAGATTATCTGTGGGAATTCCTTCAAAGCAGCAGAGGTGATAAAAACACATTTTGTGTTCACTTTCCTCCTGTTTTCCTCCTTCAACCTGGAAAACATCACCAGAGGGGGAACAATGCATCATTAATATCCTTGATCTACTGTTCTGCATAAAGAAAGGAAGTTTTCATTCCAGAAACATCAGTGGGGAGGGCAGGGAGAGGAAACCCAGACTGAGGTTTAAAAAAAAAAAATCAGGCCAGCAATCACCTCCATCTACTTGAGGCCTCGAGTAGATTGGGGACGGCGAGGGGGCTCTCTGAATGTGGCATGGGTTTGTTTTGTTTTGCCTTGTTGAATTTTCCACAGTTTTTAAAATATACAACTGACTGCTCTAAGGTTGTTGGAGTGTGAACTGAGATAAGGGGGAAAAAAACAGAATTTTCCTTTAAGGAGCTAAGAAAAGAAAAATTAAGTGGCAGGATTGTTTTTTAAATCCTAGCAGCCTTCAAGAGTGTGCATCAAGTTATACTGATAGAGAGAAAGGAAGGAGGGGAGGAAGGGAAGGGGAGAGAGAGAAAGAGAGGGAGGGAGGGAAAAACAGAGAGAGGGAGAAGGAGAGAGAGAAGAGGAGACAGGAGGGAGAATGTTCACACATATTAGACTTCTGGTAACGGTTTCCCTGGTAACAGTGGGAAGCAAAAGAGAAGGCAGTGTGAGGGTTGAAGGTTCAAGCTTCAGTTTTCACATAAATGCCAACTTGTTCAAAGACAACGCTGCCCAGGCGGGAGCAAAGTACCTTTACAATACCAAGAATATGTTATGCTTTGAGGGACCCAAAAGAAAGAGCTCCTGCTCGTAGGTTGTAATTTTAAAATTCAATATTCAAAACAAACAACTCCAGACAATTGGAATGCCAGCCACAATCACAATACTGAAGTTTCTATTTTTTGGTAATTAAGCATTTCCCCCCAAAACTGAAAGGGCCTTCCTTATCTTAAGCCCCTGGGTGGGAAGCACTCAGTGACCCATCAGCCCATTCTCTCAGGGCAGCAATAAGAATGCCAAGAGTCGGCTCGGCACCTGTGGCTCAAGTGGCTAAGGCGCCAGCCACACACACCTAAGGTGGCGGGTTCGAATCCAGCCCGGACCCGCCAAACAACAATGACGGCTGCAACCAAAAAAATAGCCGGGCGTTGTGGTAGGCGCCTGTGGTCCCAGCTACGTGGGAGGCTGGGGCAGGAGACTCGCTTGAGCCCAGGAGTTGGAGGTTGCTGTGAGCTGTGAAGCCACAGAACTCTACCCAGGGGGATAGCTTGAGGCTCTGTCTCAAAAAAAAAAAAAGAATGCCAAGAGTCCTGCACAACTGGGGCCACCCTGCAAGTGCCCCAGCACAGGGGGAAGCCCAACTCAGGTGGCTCTGAGCAACCTGCCACACCCTAAGGGAAACTCAGCTCAGAGCTCAAGCCCCAGTGACAGGAAAAAGCACAAAGGCCCCTCCTGTTCCCAGTAAGCAGGGACCAGGCTTCTGAATTAGGCCAGCACGTAGGCCCCCAGGCCACCCCACTCCCACTGAGCAGAATGCACCGTCCTATTAACTCTTAGTTGATCACTGCTCAGGAAACCCAGTGCTTAAGGACTGGATCAAGGACCCTGAGAGCTCAGCTCTCCAAAGGAGATGGGGCATGCACGGTCCAAAGGAGATGGGGCATGCACAGGCTGGCGAGAATCTCTGCTTCTCACTGCTGTGTCAACACTGAGCACAATTTCTTCTTTCTTTCTTTTTAAAGAAAAAAATAACACTGAAAACCCCATTAGAACAAACTCTGCTAGGCCTCTGAAGTATCGACAATCACGTTACAATTAATTCATTGTTGGAGAACCTCCTTCCCATGCTCAAGGTTGTACAGAGCCCATGTCGCCCTCTGTCGACAAAATTCTGAACTAGAAGATAATTTTAAAAGAAAATATAAAGCTCTCTGGAGCCAGCGTTCTCTAGTTGCTTCCTATCTCCCGGCTGGCGGGGGGTGGGGCAGTTTCTTTATCCAGTTCATGTTTCCCTGCACGAACCCAGTATGTTTGGGGATGACCACTGAGGTGACAGGCGGTGCAGGGAACCACAGACTCGGCTGCACACAGAACCACCCCTACCCACTCTGACTCAGACAGCTCCTGGCCAACATATCTGTTTCATGGTCTCTGCCCAAGCAGGATGACTACTGCTGCCATGACCATGATGCCCATGTGGTATTAGGCGCTCCCCACTGCAACCACAGCACCAGCACCCACACCAGAGTGAGCTTCCACTGCAGGTGCCCAGGAGCCTTCTGGTCTCCTGAGAGCAAAGGGGAGTGGGATACCCCCCAAAAAACACCCAGCCTCTTGTTTGCTCACCTCTTAACTCAGGTCTCACTGATGCAGAAGACTTCATTCTACTGTCAGCTAAGAATCTGGGCAGGTCCTCATGGCACCTACACATCAGTGCTCCTGGGGAGGCGCTATGACCTCCAATCAACTCTCCAGGTGGTAAGTGGGCCTGTTGGGGCACAGGATTTCTGGCCATAGTAGTGGCTGACAGGCTACCACAGCTCAGAAACCCACCAAACTACTCAACCAGAGGATGTCAAGGTGGTCCCACTCAACACCAGCAGTCAGCCAGATGCTGGCCAGCCCAAAGGGCAGTCACTGTGCCCAGGGTAGGCATGCTGCAGCTTCAGGATGAAAAGCCCTCATCTTTAGCAGGCAGCTAGGGCCACCACAAAGCATGGGAAGGAACCACAATCACTACTTTCTCTCCTTTATCCTCCTCCAACACCATTCCCATCCCTGTCTGTCACAATGCTTAGTTATAGTCCACATGGCCTGATAGAAAAGGAACAACTCATAAAATAATTATCAAGCCAGGCACAGTGGCACGAGCTTGTAGTCTCAGCTCCTCCAGAGGCTGAGGCTGGAAGACTTCTTGATTAACAGGAGCCAGGAGTTCAAGTCCAGCCTAAGCAACATAGAGCGATTCCCCCCCCCCATTTCAAAAATTACAATAATGATAGTAGTAATTTGAGTTCTACAAATCCAGGCTCAAGTCCTGACCCCACATTCCCCTAGGTGATCGGGCCAACTTATTTTACTTCTCTGGGCCTCAAATTCCTCTTTTGTATAGTGACAATAATAATGCTCACCCTTCATAAAGTTATAGCATTTTAAAGGCAACACATATATGTAAAGTGCATAGAAAGTACGTGACAAATAGTAGCTAAAGAAATATTTTTCTTACGAATCATATGTAATAATGAAATAGACTAGATAATATCATCCTAAACTTAAAACTCTCCGTTAGGTCCATACCGTCTACAAGAAAAAGTCTATCAGTTTCCACTGAGCTGCTCCTGCCTAACTTCTGCATCCACATCTCCCATGATGCCACTCTGCACCCTGTGCCACTCCAAGTTGCCCAAGCATAATTCGTATCCTTATGCTTTTACTTTTGCTGGTCCTTCTGCTTAGCCATGTCATATACTTAAGAGTCAGTCTTCAGGACCCAACCTTTCCCAGAAGCCTTCCTTAATTCTCCACTCCTCTCCCTACCCACCAAAATCTATATAAGGTGACATCCTTCTGTGCTCCCCAGAACCTTTCACACATACTAACCTTAACGCACACAGTACCTACTATGTATGCATCTGTCTCTTCCCCTGTACCCAAAGATCCTTGCAGACAGTCTCATAAATCTTGCTTACTCTGGTCCTAGCAGTGCTCATCACATGGTAAATTCCTAATACAACTTGCATTAATGAATGATTAAAAGAAACAACTGAAGGAAATTTAAAAGAAGGAAGAACTAGAAAACAAGAAACCCCCTCTAGCATCTGGAGAGTTCATATTTGGATAATTTGGAAAGCAAATGCTTCATGGCTTCTGTACACTAGGACGGAGTTACCAAACTTCAACGACAGCATCCAGTAACCACCATGTCTAATTCCTGGGGTTCCTCAGGAGACTTCCTCTTCACTGTGCTGTAGTCACTAACCCTGCAACCTCTTTTAGAAGAAATGGAGGGAAATTCAAAAAGCCCTCATCTTGGCTTGGCGCCTATGGCTCAAGCGGCTAAGGCGCCAGCCACATACACCTAAGGTGGCGGGTTCAAATCCAGCCCGGGCCC